GAAGAGCGTACGCTGCTTGCGTTCAGTGGTTATTCTCCAAAATGGCGCTACGGTGATGCGGAGAGACACAGAGGAGACGAATTGTTGAATAAAGTCGTTATTTTTGTTTTCTTCGTGTACAAAAAGTATTCTTGTTGCTTCATAATGTTACGGTTGAACCACTGATGGCAGATGGACTATTCTGACTATGTCTTTCATACTTTTCTGGACCTTGACAGTGTAATTTACTAGGCATTCAATGGGACAGTCACAAGCCTCCCGGTTTTCATCCAAAATATCTTAAATTGTGTTCCGAAGACGAATGAAGATTTTACGGGTTTGGAACGACATGGGGGTAAGTGATTAATGACAATTTTCATTTTGGGTTGGAGGAACCCTTTAAGCTATCGTATGGCTTTAGAAATAACACAGAATAATACGCACAATCTTGGATATGGATCGGCCCTCTCTGACCGATACCCGATCCGACAAAAAAATGTCAGTATCGGAGCCGATACCCGATATGAATATCGGATCGGCGCATCCCTATTTGTGTGTGTGTGTGAGTGTGAGTGTGCGCGCGCAGCGCAGAAAACAGCACACGAGTGCCGAAGTGAGTTCTATTTTGTCTTCTTGCAGTTGAATCTTTTGAAATCACAATAAATGCGCATACAGAAATCGAGAAGCTGAATCGAAATGTAATTTTATAACAAGTAATTTGATTCCTGACCTTATGCATCTGATCTGATATCCAAAATTGAAATAGCTTTTCGATTCTTAACCCTCCTACTAAATTATTTCATTCTTGCATGCAAAAAGACCTGTATGGTGACTATGCGGCTATGTAAAATATTTTTTGCAACTTACTAGGTTTATCATTTGTCATTTTTTCCCCTATGTAAAATATTTTTTGCAACTTACTAGGTTTATCATGTGTCATTTTTTTCACGATAATGTCGATAATCGTCTGTTACCTGACTGTTGGCATCGACGTTGCGATACTTGCGAGACGATATACGATAATATGGTCATATCACCCAGCCTTAACAGACAGTTTGATGAAGCTGAGGTGCCATAAATGCATTTACACTGCAAAATTTCAAAAGCATAAATAATTTTATAAGATTAATGTTTTACATATTTTTAAACAAATAAATGATGAAAAAATGCAATGATACTTTTAAATGACTAAACCACCAGTAGGTGGCGGCAAATGACTGTTTTAATAAGCGAGTCATTTAGTCATTCATGTTTTCATCCAAAATATCTTAAATTGTGTTCCGAAGACGAATGAAGATTTTACGGGTTTGGAACGACATGGGGGTAAGTGATTAATGACAATTTTCATTTTGGGTTGGAGTAACCCTTTAAGCTATCGTATGGCTTTAGAAATAACACAGAATAATACGCACAATCTTGGATATGGATCGGCCCTCTCTGACCGATACCCGATCCGACAAAAAAATGTCAGTATCGGAGCCGATACCCGATATGAATATCGGATCGGCGCATCCCTATTTGTGTGTGTGTGTGAGTGTGAGTGTGTGCGCGCAGCGCAGAAAACAGCACACGAGTGCCGAAGTGAGTTCTATTTTGTCTTCTTGCAGTTGAATCTTTTGAAATCACAATAAATGCGCATACAGAAATCGAGAAGCTGAATCGAAATGTAATTTTATAACAAGTAATTTGATTCCTGACCTTATGCATCTGATCTGATATCCAAAATTGAAATAGCTTTTCGATTCTTAACCCTCCTACTAAATTATTTCATTCTTGCATGCAAAAAGACCTGTATGGTGACTATGCGGCTATGTAAAATATTTTTTGCAACTTACTAGGTTTATCATTTGTCATTTTTTCCCAGCCTTAACAGACAGTTTGATGAAGCTGAGGTGCCATAAATGCATTTACACTGCAAAATTTCAAAAGCATAAATAATTTTATAAGATTAATGTTTTACATATTTTTAAACAAATAAATGATGAAAAAATGCAATGATACTTTTAAATGACTAAACCACCAGTAGGTGGGGGCAAATGCCTGTTTTAATGAGTGAGTCATTTATTCATTCATTCAACCGATTCATTCAAATGGCTGATACTCAAAACGCATTCGGGGGGTAAAATACACATTTTTTTGGCGGGTACAATTCACATTCCAGGGCCTAAATATCATGTTATTGGGGTCGCTTCAACCTATCGGGCTAAAATCGTGCAGTGTGAACTCGGCATGACTGTCCTGATGAATGGGCCACTAAATCATTGACTCACTCGATTCGTTCAAAAACGTGGATTCATTCACTAACGAAACACCGCTGTGTGTTGCTCGGAGACACACAACAGTTCTGCTGTGGCTTTGATCAGAACTATTTTCATCAGCGAAATTGAGCAAAAATAGTCAATATTTTGTCTAAAATCTAAGTAACTTAATTTTAACTTATTGTTTATTGAAATACTATTGTATAAAATCAGTGTCACATTGCAATCGTGTTGATATTGATATTCGGGGAAACATCATGGCCGTATAATGTTGCTTACCTAAATCATATTTTGTAAATATCTTTTTTTTTCTACTCTTTTTTTTTTTTTTTAACCGCAGTATGCATCTATAAATTTCTGTGAGTTACTTTGTGTGTGCTGCTGTCTCTCTCACACATTCACTCAGGCTGTGCAAGCCTCATCTGGCATGACATAAATACATTATCAGTCGCCGTTTACACTGAATACAATTAAAATTAGAATAATTCTCATGCGAAACAACATGTTTACACACGACTGTGACGTCATTGCCGGCGCCGCTGGCAATAAAAGGATCGGTTCGGAATCGGCAAGACACGAGACTGACCGGCCGGTCACCGATCCGGGCCGGTCATGCGAAAAATCTGCCGATTCCGATCACTGGCCGGTCAATCAGTGCATCTCTAAAGTAAAGGACATTTTTTGGGTTGAACCATCCCTTATAACACTAATATTACAACTAATACTTTAAAAGCATAATATTCATAAAATATTTTACATAATACAGTTTAACTCATATGTGTACAAAATGATCAATCATACCACAACATACTTATTTATCAGTGTTTTAACTTTCTACATATCTTATTTCAATATGCTTTATATTTGACAAAAAATAGGAATAAAAAAAATCTTACTTTGTCTCCAGCATTTGGGTTTTTGTCAGGGTGATATTCCTTTGCTAATTTCCGGTAAGCCTGAAATATATTTGTTTTAGAAGGTTAGTTTCACTTCAGAAAGCATCCAACACAATGAAACAACATGCCACATTTAAACCATTGTTTTAAGAAAAGGAATATGCGTTGAAGTAAAACGAGTTACACCTGCCTGAATATTCCAGCAAATATCCCTCGAGACTTTAACTTATGATTTGAGAACTACTCTTAGGAATTTGTTTGTGCGTCATATTCATATGAAGCCAAGAACAACGGCCTTGAACAACGCAACTAATCATTATACAAAACAACACAGGCTAGTGAGCCATACCGTCGCTAGTCACTGATAGTTACCATCAGTTTAACGAGTTACCAGACAGAGACTCGTTATGTTTTGCGCCGGAGCAGAAACCCCTCTGCGCTAAACACATAGCACTGCTATATGTGATTGACAAAGAACACACACAAAAAATACACACAGGTCCATCATATGCGTCAGTTTAGTTTTAGTTAGAGTCAAATTCGTTGTACATGTGACCTCTTTGGCATTATGACACACATGTAAAGGGAAAAGCCCCGCGTCAAGGCCTAACGTACACACCGGCCACACGGTGAGCTGATGCTAACGGTGTTTTCAGCCGCCAAATACACAGGAAGATGTATACATGATGACTGCGTTTCATGTTCAAGTCCAAATCATAAATCAAACACATACACGGATAAGTGGATATGTAAAGAGACAGCACATACGCTTGATTAAATCCTACAACAATACCCCATCTCGTCGGTTTTGTCCGGTGATCTGGTAACTATAGTCACTAGGCCAAACTCAGCAGCTTTAGCTCAGTGCTAATCCTCCTCTCTCTCTTCCTGATTCACACACAAAAATCAGTCGATTCGCTCCCGTTAAACAGCGATAACGAGCAGCGAGTGCAGACACATGAACCCCTACCTTTTTCAGCTCGTTTTCGGAGACCGAGGGGGAGACCCCGAGAATGTCGTATAGTTTGGTATCGGAGACGTTGGACATGTCTGTGCGGAGTGAAGGACTGTCTGCGGGGAGCGGAGAGCTGAAGAGAGACACCGGCCGGAAGCGTCAACTTTAACCTCTCCTCAAGCGCCTCCTCTCAACGCACGAGCACATGTCATCGTGGTGCAAATATTACACACATCCTTCACATTAACATTCTGCAGCTTTCTTTTGACGAATATTGTTTAAATGATGCAATAAAGGGGCATTTTACATAACTCCAAATGCTGTGAAATATGCCGCTTGTTTGTGTGTGAGTTCTGAAATGTAAAATAGTCCAGTGGTCAAATGTCATTGAACTGTAATTTTTTACATATCTACAGATTTAAAATCGGGAAAATATTTTTTTTAATGCTTTTTTTTGTTTCCATACACTATTGAACCCACCGGTCAAATGTTTGCGGGTCAAGACCCTAACTGGTTTTGATACATCAAAAATCAGACTATGAAAAATAGTACCTTTACAAACTTCTGCAAAATAATGATTTATAAATAAAACTATATTTAATAAACATTTCTAATATTTTCTCATTGCATTTTATGTTTTCATTTTCACAACCTGTGAAAATTACAATAAAAAAATTATTTAATGTTTGTGCTTTTGGAAATGGATCTTTATTATCCCTAATTAAACTTATGTTGAATTTGAGGCTCATTTTAGCACAAATGATGTGCTTTTTTGTTAGTCTAAAACCTAACAATTTTTGTTAGTTAAAAACAATTGTGTAACCCTAACAATCAAATTAAACAATATCTTCATTATTTAGTTTACCCTGGCCTTGTTGGATATGCCACATAGTCTATTCCAGCATGGATTTATGTTTTCTCTCTTCTCCCAACAGCAATATAAACAACAGAATAAATAACAATAAATAAACAAATAACAACAGAAATATGGGCATAATGAAAGTGATTTGATTTTAACAGCGAGACATCCATTGAGATCCGTGTTCTTTGGATTTTTTTTTAATAGACAGTGTGTTAGAAAACACTCTCTGTCTTGAGAATGCCTCACCCCTCCTTTTTTTCCCCTCTCTCTTCCAAGACATACCTGTCAACATTTGGGTCCCAAAATACGGGAGACGGAAGGGGGAGCGGTGGGTTGGGGCAAAAGTATCAATTATTATATTATATTAGTATTATATTAATTTAAACAATTATTTAAACTGCGTGTATATCAAACTGCGTGTTTTCTGCGTAAAAATAAGTGTCGTTGTTGACTTTGGACTAAAACAAAAAGCAGAAGGGCTTATTGAAAAATTCTAATTCATTCTCTCTTCATTCTTTCGCTTTTCGCCAGGAATATAGCCATATTTCCCCGGTAACCGCAGTAAACAAAGCAGCGCAGCACCTGATTTTGCAACTTGCAGCGCTCATATTTAATAAATTAATCCATAGCCTTTTGAAGTGTAAGCTATATCTCAATTTGCATGCATATTTGTTTTTTCCACCGGAGCACCACCTGAGTCTTCTCCTCCCGTCCCATTTCTACTAGTGATCCTTTCCTTCCCGCGGTAGTCATCACTG